ATGTTGCATATATACATCAATATATCAATCACAAATATATCAATATATGTATAGGTATATTTTTTAAGCTTATTTGCGAAAATGCAACTTGTCAAAATCTAACCTTGAATTCGGTAAGCTATTTACAAGGTTAGATTTTGACAAGTCGCATTTTCGCAAATAAGCTTAAAAAATATACATATACATATATTTAATCACTGAAATAATTAATTTCCAGTTTCATCCTCATTATTACGATACCTCATCGCATAATAAAAATGGATATGAAAATAAACCGTATACGATATACGGTTGAAAATAAACGTATACACCAAATTTTTGTCAAGCTGAAAAACTAGCACTTGTATCATTAATAAAAAAATACAAATTGATAATAGAAAATAAGCGGACTGATGCTGTGAGTGTTAGAGAAAAAGAAGAGGCTTGGTTAAAGATATTGGACGAGTATAATCAGCAAAGCAACTGTCGCCCTCGCGAATTAGGAAACATAAAAAATTTCTGGATTAATGCTAAAAAGGACACCAAGAAGTTGTATGCAAAAAATAAAAGGGAAATATATCTCACTGGTAATATAATTAACATTAAATTATTTTAGCGCTTTTGATCACGAGCAAGAATTTATTTTTATCATATATTTGTTAGGTGGTGGATCTTCAAATATTGTGAGTGATGTTGTGGCCGATGCCGTTTATGAAATAATTGGGCCATCCATCGACGGACTGATCAATGAGATCAATCCGTTTGATTCTGACAAGCATATTTCGAATTATGTAGAAACGCCATCAACTGTAACAAATTTACTAGATAATGATATGGAGAATGATGATCCAAATCATACAAGTGTTTTCCAGGTTTGTCAATATCATACAATCTTTTTGTTTATTGTTATTTTATATGTAGAAACTTACATTATTTTAATGAGATACAAATATTTTCAACATTTAGTAAAAAGCGGAGAAGTGAAAAGTTGGGCGGAATATAATCTTCAAAAATTGAAAACCATCATCAGTCCCCCGCTTTCCAATGCAAAAGAAGGTGTTCAGGATAAATATAAGCGCCTAAAAATGGTCGAGTCAACAAAAACTTCCAATGAAGAAACATTGAGTCTTATGGAGACAAAAACAGCACTAGCAAAGTTAATGACGAAGAACATTCAAGCCAAGCAACGAATTGAAACAAGAATACTAAAAACAAAACTCATAAAAGAGAAACTTGCAGTTAAATTACTTAAAATGAAATGTAGAAAGATGAATAGAGGAGAGCCTATTTCTTCCAATTCAGATAGTATGTTGTCATCTGAATCTTCAGAAGAGGTTTTTTAATCTACATATACATATGAACGGGTAAAGGTGTAACGAACGAAATAGTCTCAGCTCCTCCCGGTTCCGGACACGATTCCGGCAGGAATTATTTATTACTCGAATAATAAATAATGTACTCAATCGGACACGCGGTTCCGATTGACGGTTGGAGGAGCTAGCGTTCTCGCGGTCGGTATTTGACGTGCTGTGTGTCGGTTCGAGTGAATCCTCCGTTCCTCCTGTCGCCGAATATGCTCAGCTCCAGGGCCGTCGGGAGGAAAGGAGGCAAAGAAGATCTTAATTCGCCAATAGAGTTGATCGCTTGGAAGGGATCGGAAATAAGTCTGACAGGTAGTTTTCGGTTTAACAATAGGAACAAAGTTTATTCAACGAATAGGATCGAGGTAGCTACAATAGGTTCGCCCTGTACGTAAATACAAAAGAAATAAGGAAGATTAGTGCGACGGATAGATACAAGGAAATCGTGGTAATTACAAAAGTACGCCCTGTGATCAAAATATAATGGAAAAGAAAGGATTAGACGGATTAGAATACGGTACAGGAATACAATGATTTAACGGAATACAAAGAAATCGTGGTAATGCGCACGCGGCCGAATCGGAATATATAAAATAACGAAGATACGGCCGGTTGGATTAAACGAGAGTAAGACAGGTACCCGGCTGGATTACAGGAAGCGGTTGGTGAGGATGTTACACGGGATCCTCTGTAACGGAGCGAAGGAACAGGATTAACGTTACGGAGCTTACGGCTATGGCTAATTAATAATTCGTCTCCCACCCAAATATTCCCCCCTGTGTTCTACACCGGTCGGGGGTCAGGAAAAAGGATAGGTTCAGGTCAGGGACACGCCCGATCAGCGCCTCGTTATGCGTGTATTCTCAGTAGCATATGTACACCGGGCAGCACCCCGTTACTGTGTACGCTACTGCGGACGGATAGGAGACCGGTAGGGGATCAGTAGCTTGCGTACATCGGGCAGCACCCCGTTCTAGTACACTACTGCGGGGGGGGGCCACCGGGGCACACGACGGAGCAGCGCCTCCACCTGTCGTGTACTCCGGAATGGTATATCGCCGGACGGCAGTACCCGTGATACCGGCGTATACCGCAGCGGAAGTACCCGCTGCCGGGTGTCGTCGCTCGGTGCTCCGAGGAAAGACT